GAGTCTTTATCAACTACAAGGCATTGGACTTTATGGCGAAGACAATAGATTCCACCAAACACGGCACACATCCTGCAGAAACACTGGGGAATTTCTCCTTGGCCATATAAAGGGAATATAAAGGGAGTGTTGCCAAACCGTCCAAGACACTGAAGGAAGGTTTTAGTTGCTTTAAGGCCATCTAATGTAGTGCAGGATGACTCTGATGTCATTGCAATCGAATGCAGTATGAAATGCTGGAGGCTGGGCGTTAACTGTTTAGTTTTTAGGTACTCAGAAAATGGACATTCTTTGAAATCTTGGTATTCGTCAGAATGTTGTTCATAGTCTAGACAGAATGTGAGGAATTTCATTAGCATCCTCTTTTCAACCATAGTGAGCCCTTTACTATTGAAGACATCTGCTCTGGAGCAAGGCACCTGTTCCACCTTCCCTTCCCGAAATGCAAGGATCCTAGTGACGTTCTTAAATTCTGCATAACGACTAACATTTGATTTGATTAGAAGATCAATCAATGATCCTTGAGAATACAGCAGCTTCGATACCAAGTCAATATTAAATCTCCGGCTCTCCTTAATCATTTGAGGGTATGTAATCCTGCTTCTCTTTGGTTGTTCAGTGTTGTCTTCTACATCAAGTGTGTCATCATCTTTATCTCCATCTGAAACTGCCTGGGTACCAGTTTCTTCTTCACGGTCCTTTCTTTTCTCCAGTGAGTTCTCTGCAGCAGCTGGGGATGATGAAGGCTCTCCATCACTTCTCTCTGGATGTTCAGAAGGCGCTTCGTGGCTTGAAAAGTATGCCGAGTGCCTTTCTTTGGGCAAGCCTGCAGAATCCAGAGAGTCAGCCAGGGTAGCAGATGCCTCTGAGGAAGGACTTCTCTGCAGAGCATCGGTCTTTTGAGTGCTGTCCCCAACATCCTGGCTGACATAACAGAAGACTTCTGTGTGCTGAATGGTTCCATCCTTCCTACAAAGGGCGACGGCTTCTTCGGTGTCATGGATCAGATCTTGCCACGAGGTGGTCGTGTCTTCCTCGCTGTCATGGCTCTGCTGACAGTCCTTCAGCCAGGACAGCAAACCTGTAAAGCTGAAACTCGCCCAGTTCCCTCCGTAGTAACTTCTTGAGTCAACATGCAGAACTCTCTGTCCGCTTCTCGAACACGCAGCTGCCAGGATGGACTCGGGCAAACCCGTCCCTACTATAATCACATCAAACTCTGTGGGAAGCTTGTCTGCCATCTTAGGAGCTGAAGGTTCAGGTCACAGCTGATGAAGGAACTCAGTATGGACCTAAGCTGAGGACTCCTCTGAGGTATTTATGCTGTAATAAAATCTCTACTTGTGATCTTCATTCAGAAACACTGAGCTTGCTAGTCCTAAGCTGTTTAACAGTTACAATTTAAACATTTAAGAAAAGAAAGTCAGGAGCATGGAAAACACGAGAAAGGCATGAAATCCTATCTGAGAACACTCAAATGGATGTATCCTTTTCGTGTCTGCACTTCCCCTTAGCGGTAAAGGTTACCATGCATCACATATGCATTTGTGGCAGGAACTCTTCTCTGAAAGAAGAAAATTCAAGAAAAGAACACAATTGTAAATAATAGAAAAGCAATTTCATGCAACAGCAATTTCAATCCACTGGAGCCTGACTTGTTAACGTGGATACAAACCTCTACCCAAAGAAGTCATTAAATGCCTTCCCACAGGTCTCCTAAGCTCTTGAAAATGAACAGAAGATACTTTGTACATCTTCCCCCAAAGTAGTAAAACAGACACAATAGTCCACAAAAAAAATTAATAATATTATACAATTACTTTGTGGTTAATAAAATATTTGGACAACATTGAAAGCTTAGACTAAAAAAAATATGTGGCTTTACAGTATTTATGGAAACATACTAGGCTGAGTGATAATGTCAAAATAATGGGGAATATTGCCAGTGTCAGGAAAGTCTGTAGGTAATCCCAGTCAGCTGTATAGAAGATTTTACAACCTTAACTACCCTAAGGATCTTGCAGCAAATACATGAGACATCTAGATATTACAAGAGAATTAATTCAATAACTGGCATTTAATATATGCAAGTACATGAAAGAACAGCCTGAGGGAAAATAGCCTTGTAACACTTTCTGTACTAAAGTCCATGTATGAGTTAAAAAGCTTCCTATATTAAAACATTTTAACATAAATAATATTTATTTGTAACATCTAAATAAGGAAACATTTACATTTTGCCAGTCTGTCTCTGCAAGCATGAATCTCTTTCTAAACAGGTTCTTTTTGTTTCTAAAGGAGCAATGGAAAAGGACTCCCCTGAACCCTTCCATCACACGCTGGTTATACCTGTGTGGTGCTGGGTGTGCTGGAGGCTGTCCCTTGGATACACTCACCTGGACGTCTGCAGGCTAACACACTTTCAGACCTCATTGCCAGCCTTTTCCTGGCTCATCATGCAGAGTAGCAGTGTTCCTGGGCCTCTCTACTTTTCACTACCGTTACATCTGCTGGCATCTAGATGCAGGTACACGGAAGAGACTAGTAATTCTGATATTCATAAAACAAGCCGCTCTACTGGAATTGACACGAACTTTACAAGGTTGCTGGTCTGACGTGTCAGTTTAACTGATAGAGCGATCCCAACAAGCCCAGCTGGTAGTAACCTCTGACCAAGATTATCAGGAAGTCTACTTATTTTTAGCCTTCTTTGAGAAGCCAGGATCAGAGCCCAGGATGAAGCCACTGCCTGGTCTACTTGTGCATATATGCAAGAACATGTGAATTACTCTCCCTTCTTCTAGTAGAGTATGAAGAGGGAGACAGAACCTATGAGGACATCCAAAGTAGAAGCATTTACTTCCTCTAGGCACCAAAGGGAACAAAGCTGAGGCTGGCGGGGGTGGGGTGAAGCGGGTTATAGGCACTAAGTAAGTACTTTCTGAACTACAGATGTCAAAGGGGTCTTCAAAAAATACAAAGTAAATAGGATAGATGACATTAACCACAGTCAGCTCAATAGTGATCACAAAGATGGGGAAACTGGCAGTCTGGGAGAGTGAATGACTTGGGAAAGCACAGACGATGAAGTAGCCACAGGGGCCCAACAGACCAGCGGTGTAGCCTCACCAAAGCTCTGGAGCAAGCAGCTAGCTACTTAGAGCCTTGAAAATTTTCCTCTCCTTTAGTACTCAGGATTGACTAGTTCTGGCTTGGGGATAGAAAGGGAAGCATCTTCCCTGTCTCCATCAAGAAACATACTCCGGGAGAAGAAACTATCTTTGCTAAGAACACTGTGAGTTCTGCTGTAACCTCACTCTTCTCCAGGAGTTAACTGATTTCCAGTCCTCTACCTCAGGTTTTAGGATGGGAACAGATGCCATGGTTCAAAGCACTGATAAATGCCCTGGGTAAAGGAGCCCTGGGTAAAGCACCAGGGTGGATGCTTCTAGAAGTCTTAAAAAATTTCTTCTGATGGTGACAGCTCCTGGCGGGGTGGGGAGAAAGGAGAAGGAAGGATACTGGAAGTGGAGGTTGGCAGAACATGGCGGGGGAACAGGGTGGATGCTGAAAACCACACTAAAAAACTGAACCCATTCTTGTTTTCACACTGCCGGCTGGACACCACAGCACAGAAACATACTTCACAGAAGAGAGAACTGTCACGTCTGTGAATAAACACCTGTCGCCTATTCCAGGACTCTGAGATCCAGGCCTGACTGACACACGTCACCTTCTTAAAGACTAATCCGCCTGAAAGACCCTCCCGACCAACGTTTTTAGTTAACACAGAGAATAACCATACAGTCAACCTACATTATCACTGATACTCTCTCACGGTCCCTCCTCAAGTTTCAGTATTTTTTAAAATGGAAATCCTTAGATTAATGTTTATTAGGGGAAGAGACTAGAGAAAGTATCGGAATTATCAATCGGTGAAATAGATAAAACCGTAACTCCCAAATTTTCTTTCCTTTAAATTTTTAAAAAAAGGAATCATGACAATGACAAATAGGATTTAGGTTTGTCACACATAAGCTGGCAAATAAAAATATCCATGATGTTACATAGGTGTTTTTCTCTAAGATCTGCCAAGATAAAGACAGTAGTCAATTACCAGTGTGTTTCAAGATTTGAAAAAAGGGACTTTAAGACTTAAGAAATACCCAATTCTATTTTAAATCTCTGTACAAACAAAATTCTTAGGACACACACATACACACACCCCACACACAGCCCCACACCACACATCAAACACACACACACATACACACCAGTCTATCCCAAGCTTAAAATACTGAGTTAGTCAAGCGCCAACCTGTCAATTTTCAATATAAATCTTGAAGAGATCAACAAGTTCTACTACTTTAATTAAACGTACTGGCTGCCCAGATAATTAATTAGTCACACCAATGAGTTGGACTTCTGAGCCATTTGTAACCTCGGGTGTGACAGACTTATGCAGAGGAAATACAGTTAAAAATGTCCTACAGTCTCACTCCCTAGGAAGCATTAGACGATTTATAATTGCTAGCAAATGAAAGGGTGGGGGAAATACATCGTTATTTAGGCTTCTACGTGTCACTCTGAGAAACAAATTGATTAAATCTCTCCTTGTCCCTTCTCTACTTTTCAAGGGTTGACTTTTTCTTGCGTCTCTTGACTCTACAGGCCCTCATTTCTCTCCCCCCTGTGCAGACCAGTAAAAACAGAATAGAGATGAGAAGATACAAGCTGGCCAGCGGCAGGGAGACTTTCAGAACTGCTTCATCTGCATTGGGAGTTGGGGATAACGACTGGCTGGAAGGACCCAGAGGAGGAGGGAAACGGGGAGCTGGGAGAAGACCGGCTGAAAGGGAAGATCCCGGGGGATGAGAGAGGCTGGGAGTTAGGGGTGATGACTGGCTAGAAGGGAGGATCTCCATGGGAGGACGAAAGCCCAGAGCTGCTGTACCCAGGGAAAGTTGGGAGGCGAGGAGGACGCGTCCCGGGCAACTCACCGAAGAGGCTGCCGCTAAACCCGTCCCACGCGCAGCCCACAGCGTCCCACACCCAGCCGTTCCGCAGGCACGACGCGAAGGTGAAGGTGACGCCGAACAGGGACACCAGCAGGTCGCCCAGGCTGAGGTTGACCAGGAAGAGGTGGGTGGGCGTGCGCAGCCGCGGAAACTTGGAGTAGAGCAGCAGCACCAGCAGGTTGCCGCCGACGCCCAGCAGCGCGAGGCAGCCGAGCAGCAGCGCCAGGCGCTCGTACGCCGTGGGGCTGAAGAGCGGCGCGGGGCTCCGTGTGCCCGCAGGCGCTGCGCCCTCGGCGCCCGCCCCGTCTTCCCAATATCCCTGGCCGCCGCTGCGGTTCCCCGAGTACATGGCCCGACGCCGGCGCACTATGCGAGCGAGGGCTCGGTGAGCCGGCGGGCCGCGGCGGCGAACAAGGTGGCGCTCGCGCTCAGCCGCCCGCTCGAGCCATCCTGCCCCGGTGCCGCGCCGGGCCCGCCCAGCCCGCGCGCACCCGAGGCCCCGCCTTCCGGGGATAACGCTCCGCCCCCTCCGCGTGAAGCTCCGCCCTCCCGCGTGAGGCCTGAGAGCCCAACCAGAGAGCGTTTGCGGTTCCACCCACTGGGCCGCCCTAGAAGCCACGCCCTCATGGCTTGTGGCCCCACCCACACGGTGACCTTCTTGAGCCCGCCTCCTGAGGCTGGTCTCTGCCGCGTGGGCCTGGCTCCTCCCTCCCGAACGCCCCTGGTACCCCGCCCCGTGGCTCTCACCCTTGGCCCCCTCTGACTCCGCCCCCTGGATTGTGGCCCCGCCCTGATGTCCTGGAGGTCCGCCCCTTTCCCTTCCCACCTCCCACGCGCGTCCCCGCCCAGCGTAGGCGAATCCCAGGGTCCAGTCAGCTCTGGCTCTGCATCTTTTACGCCTAAGCTGTGGTGGAAGCCGGAGGAGAAGATTCAGAAGAGAGGGAAGTAAATTCCTTTATGGAGGTAAATTACCCTCAGCGGGTCCTCACAGCCCATTTCCCCTCAATTGGCTCGAAAGCATCATATTCATTCACCCGTTCAGTCATTCACCCTTGCACACATTCATTCATAAATATTTATGAACGCCTGCGCTTAACTCTGTTGAGTGTGCTGAATAAAATACTCCCAGTTAAGCTTCTCTTTTTCCTGAGAAGCTATAATAACAACCACCCTACCTCATACACCCAATAAAAAGAGAACTAAAGAACTAAGCTAGTCAAATAATCTTACAAACAAGGAAACAGATTAAAAAAAAAGAAAAGGAAGGAAGGAAGATAAAGAAAGAAAAGAAGAAAAACAAAAACCCAGCAGGCTGAGACTTAACTACTTTAGAACTGGAAGATATGTTCCAGGGTTTATAGCAATATGCTGAGATCACAAGAGGTGGGACACCTGCCACTCTCAGAGCTCTAGGGTAAGGAAGGAAATAACACCTCCCTAGTCAAGCCCTTCCTGTCCTGCTCTGCTGTAGGGCTATCCTGATCCACAAGCCAGCTGAAGCACTTCACTGGAGGTGACCTCTTGAGCAGTGCCCCCGAGGCTTCAGTCTAAATCTAGCAGGTATAGAGAGGATATATTTAGAACAGCACACATTTTCCACTGGACCTTTCCCCAGCAGCAATGAAAATATAGTACAAGTCAAATATAGATTGTGAACGCGATACACTTCTTTAGGGCTGCAGTCCCGGATAACTCCTCACAGGAGGAAGATGTCCTGAGCTGTCATGGGCACTAATGACTGGTTCGTGAAAGCTAAATTGATGTTCAGGAGTGTTCGCCCCTCCCACTGTTAGTTTCAGTGCATCTCCAAATCTCCAAGAATGAGCTACGCAGATAGACGGCTCCATACCCTACTGCAGTAAACACTAGCCAAGAGGCAGCGTGCTCTGCCTTCGGAATCTTGACCTTATCTTTAAGGCTTCTAACCTGGTGTCAGCATCTATGATGAAACCTTTCAACTCATCTGCCCTGCAAAACGTTTTTAATGTCATATTGTAGATTTAGAGGACTGTTTAACGACTTCATTTTATCTGCTGTGTTTTCATCATGGGGAGGTTTTCATCATCTACAGTGAGATTTCATTGCTAGTTGAAGGAAGGAAGGAAGGAAGGAAGGAAGGAAGGAAGGAAGGAAGGAAGGAAGGAAAGACTCCTGATTTTTTCCCCTAAAGCATCCATTCATTGACAAAGAGTCTTTTTCTCATAAAGCTCACTTTCTAGTTTTGTTGGAAGAGAAGACAATAATAATCAAATTGGTTTATATATAAAATGTCAGATGCCAAGATGCCATAGATGAAAACAGGAAAGAGAGAAGTGCCCTTACTTAAACAGCTCTACATGGAACTATATGAACATGACATATGTATAAGGTGGGAGTCTACTTGCCCCACCCAAGCCCACCTTGGCACATATGTCCCGTGCATGCAGAGCTGTCTAAATCAGGTGTCTATATTTTCTCTTTCCTAATTTATCTGCCTTATGAAAATTTCCTGTAGTATTGTGTGCTTTAATACCTAGTCCCTATCTGGTGGCACTATTATCGGAGCTTATGGAATCTTTGGACATGGGTCCCAAAATCAATCACACAGTATTTCCCAGTAGAACATCTCCAAAGTGATCCAGCCCAGCCTAGAAGTGCCTGATCAATCAGAGCTGTGCACTGTGAAGGATTCAAGCCTTGGCATAGGCATAGATGCCTATAGGAAGAGGCCACTTGTTCATCCTGGCTGCTCAGAACCAACAACAACACTGAAACTTTCTTAATTAAAGCACTGCTTGGCCCATTAGCTCTAGCTTCTTATTGGCTAACTCTTACATTTTAATTTAACCCTTTTCTATTAATCTGTGTATCACCACATGGCTGTGGCTTACCAGGTAAAGTTCACAGCAGCTGTCTCCAGTGGCAGCTCCATGGCTTCTCCCTAACTCCACCCTTCTTTCTCCTACCATTCAGCCTCACTTTCCCTGCCTACCTAAGTTCTGTCTTGCTATAGGTCCAAAGCAGTTTCTTTATTCATTAATGGTAATCACAACACACAACTCCCGTATCAGATGCCAACACTCATTCTTCCTCAGGAAAGTTCTTCATTGACTTATTCCTGGAGCTGATTTGGCCCTGGTGACCGAGATGTAAATCAAGCTGCTGCTACCCTGCCCTCGTCCTTGTTAGTTGTTTTGGTTTTGGTTTTGTTGTTTTCTACTTGACACAAGCTAGAGGCTTCTGGGAACAAAGAACATTCATTGAGAAAAATACTTCCACTAGACTGGCCTGCAGGAAAGCCTGTGGGCATTGTCATTGTTATTATTATTGTTATTATTAGGGATGGATGTGGAAGGGGTCAATCCTGGGTTATATAAGAGAGCAGGCTGAGCAAAACACAAAGAACGAGCCAATAAGCAGTGTTCCTCCATGGATTCTGTGTCCAGGTTCCTGTGCTGAGTTCCTGCCTTGACTTCCTTCAGTGATGAACTGTGGTGTGGAAGTATAAGATGAATTAAACCCTTTTCTTCCCAAGTTGCTCCTGGTCATGGTGTTTTATCTTAACAAGCATCCCCCCACTATGTAAGAATGCACAGAAAAGACCCCATATGAGGAATGGGCAGTTACCAGCTACTGACTCTGCTGGAGCCTTACGTTGCTCCCAGCTGTCAGAACAATAACAAACGAAACATTGATGTTTGTAAATTACTCAGTGTGACATATTTTAGTGTAGCAGCAGGAATGGACCAAGACCAATGCAACAGAAAATATAGCATCTAATATAATGAACAATAGTTTAAAAATATTTATTTTTTAAATTCATATATGTGTACATATGTTCATTGTTTGTGTATGTTCATGTGTGTGCAGGTACTAATGGAAGACAGAAGGTGGCGTTGGATCCCCTGGAGCTGGAATACAGGCAGTTGTGAGGTGCTTGATGTTGAAGAGAGGTATCTACTCTTAACTACTCCCACCAACAATTTCTTGATATCCCCAGTAATCTTGGCAGCATTCTGATTTTCAACCATTTTGGAAGATTTGTAATATTTTAGTTTGATTGTAGGAAACCTAAATATAATCCACACACCTCGTGAACTTCTGCCATCTCTTGCTTGGATTATTAAAACCTGCCACTCACTGGTCTGTCTGCTTCTCCCACTTTCCCTTTCTTGGCTTATTTTTCACAAAGTTCCTTGAAGAATACTTTTCATGTACAAGTCAGAACATGTCAGTGTTCTGCTCATGACCTTTCCGTGTCTCTCAGAGGAAAAGCTCAAGTCTTTATAAAATCTCTGTGATTTTACTAGATCTGGCCATGTGGCTCTTTCTCTTCCTTCACACCAATTTACTGCTGGAGTCTGTGTTGTTTCTTGAGGATGTCAAGCACATACTAATGTCAGGACATTCTTCCTAAGGTTCGCTGGCACTCCCTCTTGCCGTTTAACCCCAGGGCTTGCTACCTCCCCTGCAGGATTCTGCCAAATATCTTTTTGTTAGCATAATTTCTCTTCCGTGGGCTCCACTGCACACCTTTATTCTGTCTTCAGAGCATGTACCACTTTCTGGCATACTTCATATGGGCCTGTTTTCTCTGTAAGTTCAGGACACTCTTTTGCTCACTACGGTATCATTACTGCCTAAAACACCCCTAGCATAAAGTAAGTGTTCTATAAATACTCGCCAAATGAATGGGCGGGTGAATGTCAGAATCCATGAATAAGAATGTAGGAAAGATAGATCCTTGCATGTTGCCAAATAGTATTTTGGGAGCTTTAAAAGAAGAAAAAGAAGACAGAAGACAGTGAGAAAAGTCTCTATGTAACATGTTTACAGAGAGTTATTCCCCTAATAGCTCATAGTCAGAGATGGATACCAAGGATGGACACCTAGTACTCAAAACAGAAGTGCCCCCGATGTCACTTTCCTCAATCCTGAACTCAGAATTTCATGAGATGATTTAAAAGGTAGTCTACCAAGAAACAGAGACCTCCTCTGTACCACCTGAACTTCCCTAAGTTCCCTGGTGGTGATGAGCAGACAGAAGGAACGTTTATAAGAAGCTGGAGAGCTATCTCAGTTGATGCAGTCATTGCTGCACATGCATGAAGACCTGGATGGAGAGCCCCAGCAACACCCACATGGAAAGACAGGACCTGATAAACACCTGCAATACTGATGCTGGGCGTGTAGAGTCAGGAATCCTTAGGGCTTCATGGCCAATACAGCCAGTACAGCTCCAGGTTCCAGGGGAGAACCTATAGCAAAAAGTGGGGTGGAGTATTGTTTTTTACACTTTGGCTCTTTGTTCTTTGAGGGGCCCACCACCCAGTTCCCAAAGAAATCACACAGAAGCTTATTCTTTCTTATCAATGCCCAGCCTTAGCTTGGCTTGTTTCTCGCCAGCTTTTCTTAAATTATACTGAATCCCTTTTGCCTCTGGGGTTTTACCTTTCTCTTTTTCTGTATTTCTTTCTTTCTTATTCTGAGTCTGACTGGGTGGCTAATCCC